TTTTGTTTTGTAAGCTTATAACGTTATGTTCAATCCGATGCGTATATCTCGTTTATGAAAATAGACCACAGCCATGCTAGCTCACTAAACACAACCGATCAATTTGAAATCAAAATCACTATCTGGGTTCCAGAACACCGGTCATAGGCAATGTTATCGCTTCAGAGTAATGTTATCGAGTACTGCATTAATACAAGATGGGCCAATGTTGCTGTTAATCTCGGTGAAGCTCTCGAATTTTTTTTTAAGCGAGACAAGTTATCGTAGAGCTTCAATAGATGTCTTGTAAATCGTCACCTAATAGAAAAATTCATACAGAGCATAGTTTTCTACTTGGCCAAAGATGCGAAAGAATTAATAAACTGTATTAAATAATTATTTTGTTTTTGTTTCTATGAATGGAATAGAATACCGAATTCAAGATCGAGTTGCTGCAGGACGATCGTATGAACTTCTTCAGATGGGTACCATTGTACGTAAAAATAGGACACCGATTAAGTTATAGTGTGTGAGATTATGAAATCAATTCATTATTAACGTTAAGGACGCTGTCAGCCATGATTTTTCACCTAATAGACTAATGTTCTATTCCAACTTAGGCAAAATGTGTCTGAAGCAGCAGTTTATAAAGCGTTCGTATTTGTAGAGGACATTTTCAGCTCTCCTAGATACTGCAATTAGCTATGATTGGTCTATGAGTTGATCGCAGATATTGCATAACACTAAATAGTATTCTGTTACATCTAATTTAAAGTTAGTGGCAAAGTTTATTGGGGTTCTTGAAAAACTTTATCATGTAAAGAGCCTATTTACCGTTATAGATATTCACTCATCCTTTCGGAGTTGGCCATTTCAGGCGGTTGGCGATACGATGCTCCGTACACTGAAGGATGCACTTAATCAATATGTGACCAATGGTCTTTTCCCCCGGACGATCGACGCCTATCGAACGTATACCCGAATAACTGTAGGGTATCCTAAGTATTTGACTATAAACATAGTACAACGGATGGATTTACAGGGTAACAACTGTGTATCAACTAAATATCGTAAAAACAATCAAACAAACAAACAAAACGACAACAACAATAGTACGAATCATAATTATAAAAGAAGAAAAGCGTGAGAAAGATCCTCGGCTCAAGAAATTTCATGTTGCTATAAACCGAAACAGATTTTACGCAGAGTCAATTCGATGTCTCAATATTGTGTTTTGAGTCTATTTAAAAGCTCTACGAAAGCATTGTTTTGCACAATATATATATATATATATATGTATAGATGCAGAAACGTGTGGACCTCAAAGGCAACATAAAGCACAATGATTCGTTGCTTAACGTTGGGTAAACAACACATTTTTACAACAAGCCCATAGAAGTCAGCACCCTTCGATATTTATCGACTAGGTCGGACGTGGCGTTGACCGACTTGGTGTGCCTATTCATTCACCCAACGTTCCCAGGACGAGTCGCGGTAAAACGTGCCGTAGTTCACTTCAAGATGCGTTAGGACTGACTTGTTGACATTCTAGGCGGAGCACGCCATAGGACAGAACATAAATTTATCCTTGCAAATTCGGAAGCTCTTTCTCGCATAGTTCAAATAACTCGTTGAGAAATCTCAACGTGTAGCAAGTTACGTATAAGAGCCTATCATGGGAAATAGGCCTGGTGCTTGTATGATTTTTTGTACGTTTGTACCGAGATCGTCCCTTCGAGCATTCTTAGGTCACATAGCTGAATCATATTCCTTTGTTAATGAAATCGATGGTGCGAGGCTGCAGAAACAGGCTGTGAGGAACTAAACCGAATGGCTACTGGATGGGATTATCGTGCAAAGGTTGCGATGTAAAAATATTAGTAGAAACCTCTTTAGATCACTGCGCACATCCATTTTGGGCATGCATATCGCTGACAGAGATTGTATGACATTTGGGCAGTTGAACGTGGCTGAGCGGTAGCATCGCCATGTTTCAACACTAAAAATAAACTGGATAAGATCCTATTATAATTATTTAGAATCACTGAGCCGCAGCTACGAACCGAACCTGGAGTTCTGTTACTGCGAATTTAGACACTCATCCACGTTGCTATGATGAGAGTCACTATATATTAGTTATACCTTTTAAATACGTCTTTAGAGAACCGCAAACGAAATCAGTATATAACAGCATGTTGATAGCGTACTAATAGTATTGTTCATATGAATTTATTTATTCGAAATAATGCTCAGTTCCGTCAAGTTTTACAAGTGGATGTGGTAATTTAGAAATGAAGAGAGCATTGGCCATTAGGTTTGCTGCGAAAAGCTTCACTGGGTCTTGGGCTAATTACGTTGAACGGGCACGTAATTCGAAAATGACCTCAATCAAATAGAGCGGTGCCACAATCACTAAAATCGACACGTTCTTTATCTTTTCTGAAATACAACGCAATTATGGCCATTGTTGAACCCCAGCTGTTAGTTACGCCAACGGTTGACGCTACCGTACCTTCTTAACAGTACAAACAATTTATTTGCACACAGGTGATTTGTGTGCATGAAATTGTTATAAATATGTCATGAAGATAAGTTATCGGAAGCTTTCGAGATTCGTTGTCAGTGTGGTTTCTTCACTGTTATCTCTTTACGATTTTCGACATCGAATGCGATGCCAAAATGAGGAAACGACTAGCGAAAAATCTTCCTATATAGGTTGTATAGGACCAATAGGCCTCGACACCAGTTTAATGATGGGCCTAGCGAATGAATGAATAAATTATTGCGGCATAGTAAACATGTACGCGATATGAGAAATTGTTAGTTCTTATGTAGCACAGCACCGTATTAATTCAGCACCGTTTACAGACTCATTCTAAAGTTTTTGTGATTCTTTACTTCTTTTTCATATCGTTTGTTCGGTAACACTTACTTTGCCATAACATTGAATATTGCCCAGTTGTAAACGCTTAAGTAAGTTAACTTTTTCGACCGAGTGCTCAACGGATCTGATTCGTTGTAGATTAGCTTATTTTCGTCTACGATGATATATTTTATAATAATTATTGTTATATAGATATAAGTATACATAGCACTGACCTGTAACTGAGCTTGAAAATCCTGATTTATTTTTTCCTCTCGAAATTGCTTGTAATTCAAAAACAGTTCTCCGTATCGGGATACGGGTCGTGTGGGCGTTTGTCTGTATGTTTACTTACAGGCACTCAGATATTATACGATAAATCGAATAAATTTTATTGGTGTCCATCTGCTAGACTCCTCCTTATTTCACCGAACCCCTTTTTCCGCCTTAGGTGTATTCACCTGTCTTATTTACACACATCGATCTACTCCACATAGCCAGTTATGGTCCGACTGAGAGAAGTAAGCAAAAACAGCTCAGCTCCAACAACTCTTTTCGGCTGTATAAGTCCTAAGCTTATGTTAGGACGCACATAAACGGATGTGCGCTGCTGTAATTATGTGAATTCCACTTAAAAAAAAAGCATCAGGGGTTCGACGAAAAGTACGACAACATATCAATGTAACACTGTAAACTTTATAGCTTTATTTATAGTCGTTAATTCTGAAAGCAATCGATAGTGAAGTTACAGTTACTTTTTTTTTTTTTTCTGTGTTTACGCGTATATGTATCTATTACTGCTTATATGGTTTCGAAACAGATGTGTTTTTTTTTTGCTTGTGAGCATGGAGGAATGGGTCTATGCCAATAAAATGATGAGTCGCTGAAGGGGGCCAGCCGTACAAAGATAGTCCCTCAATACGGGCTCAGCGATAATCGAGCTGTGACGATATGGAACAGAAGATCATATCAGTTACATATGTATAATGTGTACATATGACGAAATCGTGTTATGCGATTAGTGTTGATTTCATTGATGGAACTCATGCTCCATCTTTGGTGTAGGTTCGCCGACTTAACCTACGTTTCTTAAGGCGTTAGGCTATCTAACGGCGTTCGGATAATACTAGAGATTGCTATCGCTTCGACACATGATCCTTATCCAAACCCAAAAAATAGCTATAATTGACAAAAAAGCTTGAAAAAAAAGCCTTTAAAATTTCATATTGGCTCCAATGCGCCCTTAAACTGCTAGTATAAATCCTGTATACGGAACAGCCAATCTCAGAGCATTTGTAATCGATAATAAGAAAAGGTGGCGTGTGCTATATGTCTTAATAAGTATATCAGTGAGTAGAAGCTAGTTTTGCTTACTGTTCAAATCTCTTGCCGTATCGATAGTGGTATTGTGTGCTATTAAAGAATTTTATTTTTTTATACAAATAATTTTATTGGAAAAATTATTAAACGATTATTCTATCTCATATGTACGTTCTTAGAACTCTACTCTGAACCATTATAGTTCTAAAGTTCACATGTATTCCTGCATGATTTCTCCGGAAATGCCGCATTCTCATTCAGCTGAAAAATAGATCGAGCCATGGCCCTACAAATAAAATACACCATCCAGCCTGATGGACATCCAGACGACAGGAAAAGGACACGGTAGCGGACCTGCGCATTGAAAACCGTTCGAAAGCCTTTTGGAATGTGGGTCCGTTGTAAAAATGGAGACAAGGATGGTCCTAGAGAAGCATTCCACTCGATCTCCAATAATAGTTCAGGACAAAAACACAGGATCTCCCTTACGCACAATATCAACGACGAATGACACAAGAGATCCTAGGTTGCCGTCGATTATTTATAACCACACTTTTATCTTGTGCAATAACATAAGATTTAGCTCGAATCTGGCTTCGACAGTCTAACCTTATTTACTTCCTCAGTTTTAAGCATAATAGTCAACTTGAATGTAGACTGTCGGAACGCCTTAAATTTAACATCCCATAAAAAATGCAGTAGATTATACTGGGATATTATCTAAAAAAGCAAGGTAACTTGTTTTTGACTGTCTAAATTATCTTAATTAGTAATAAATAAAATCTAATTTCATACATTTGAACGGTACCCTGCTATTGCCACTAGATAATTCACCTACCTTCTTGCCATTAATGGTTAAAACTGAAGTGCTTGTACTGCTAGCGGAGTTGCTGGTGCTAGCTCCGGATAGAGATACGGGGGGATGCACAGCTGTCAGCTCGAGGTTGGACGTTGAAGGTTTTGGTACAAAGCCATCGAGGGAGTAGGCGGGGGGACGGGTTGGTCGAGGCCGCATCAACTTTTCAGGAGGAGCTACCGTGGTGCCTGAGTCGAGAATCCTAAAAAAATCGACAATCATTCAATATTTATAATTAGCAGTGAATATCTCACACGAGTGATCGACGGTAAGTGTACGCCTGATCCCACCTAACCGGAAAAACGCAGAAGGCGCTTAGCTTGTCATGGAATTGTCAAAAAATTAACGCAATTGATGATTAGTAGTAGTAGTTGGATTTATCAGACATAAGAACGACTCGCAAAGTGAACAGGAAACTTGAGGTGCAATCTTTTTTGTTTTTTTTTCTTATTGAAACAGACAAATTGTCTAAGTTAGTATTTCGTCTATTTGTAAAGACGATGTAGCTATCTCAAATATATAGAAACAATTGTTTGGATTTTTTATGGCATGTTTTTCCTTCCCATAAATAGATGAATTTGAAATCGTTAAATTTAGTGCTTATTAGAGTTTCTAGGATCATGTGTGAATTTTTTTAAAAGTTGGCTCATTTTCTCCATGTGACCCATTTGCATAGCCAACAAGTTTTATTGTATCTTCGCCATCACTGCCATCTTTCAGCTAAATCTTGTTCTACGCATCGTCTTCCTAAATACGCTTGGCATACATTCACCTAGACGTGTTGTGGTGACTAGCCATTCGAAAGTTTGACAGGTTTCAACCCGTCATCTTGGTTTGATCTTCATATAGTCTGTATCTGTTCCCGGTCGTGTACAATATTGCAGTTGCGATAACAGAATAGAATCTGAACGGGAACTCTATGGCGTGTATAATGGTAGTAGCACCCTCTGCCGCACAATAACGTTGCAATTATCGTTATTGTGCGGTAGAGCGTGCACATATATAGAACGGGTGTACATTTTCGCGCATGTGCGTTCAACAGTTAACGGTACGGCTGATGATGAAGCGTTTGTGTGATGAAATTTGGGCGCTATACGGACGACAAAAGACACGCTTATACACGCTTTAATACACATATTCCATGCTGGCTTAAGCTATCGTTGTTATTCTTCTACTCTTCGGTACTTGAGCATACAGCGGCGGCGGTGGCGGCGGCCGCCGGTGGCGCCGCACGGTGGCTGTCCATTGTCGCTAGTGACGATATCGACATTAGGTCTCTGCAAATATTATCGTTCGTATATAGTAGAATTTATATTGCTACGGAGCATTTTAGTGCCGGTTAAGCTCGGCACAAAAGCGACGAAGAGATTTCGTCGTGTGGTTAGGACTATCGTTGTAGTGAATTAATCATCAATTCCTATTTCGGGGTAGACAGACATTTTGTTGTTTGGGTCATTTGTAGTCGTAAACATTTCATTAGCCTCTACTGCCAGTCGTCCCGTTATAGTGGTATCAGAAGCTAAGCTGTAATGGTGGACCTACAATATAAAAGAAATCGTCTGTGCCGCTGATGCTGTTTGCGTCGAAGACGATGACTGCATACTGGCATGGCGGCTGACGTACACGCCCCATACTGTGGTTAGCGATCACGTCGAAAGGGGCGCACATTTACACATACGTATATTTATCCATTCAGTGCAAATCTTTATGTGTACGTTCGAATTTTTGGCTTCTGAAAAATGCCTGCATACATAATTCGTGACAATGACCCCTCATTGTCGATCGGCCATAACGGCCAACATCGTTGCCCGTAATGGCCGACGTGGTGGTGTTTACAAGTACCGTCGGGCTTACCGATATGTCAAACTGTGACGCATTCGTTAGAGCAGAAACACTGTAACTAACTGTAGATCGTCTCACATACTCGGGTGCGTCCCACCGACAAGGCGTGTTACCGGCCAATGTGTACGTTAGGCAGTTACGATCGTTGCAGTCATTAAACGTGGAGGGTGTTGGCTAAATTTCGATTTTATTTTGTTAGGTTTGAGCCTGTGAAAAAATAGGCCATTTACTAGGTTCATTGAATACGTCAATATGAAACTGGTGCATATTAGTGAAAAATTTGCTACAAGTAATAACCACACTCAGGTTTTTGTAGAGCTTCTTTGTACATCTCAAAAGTGTATTTCCTATATTGACGATGCGTTCATTTTATCTGTCCGAATTAACTGCGTGCCAACGGTGGGCCATGTACTAACCATTCACGTTCTCATATGCAATTCCTCTGCCTGTGGCTTTTCGAAGCCAATTGATAGTTGGATATGCTCGCTCACAGTAGCTCTTTTTAGGGCATGCAGAATCCTTAATTATACTGACTCGGGCAGATTGAAGTAAACGTTGGATAATCCTTTGCTCAATCCGGAAAGTAAACAGAGCATGACGACGAGATCGTTAAGTAACTGGACTGCACGCTTTCGATTGTCGTACCAAGGGCGCATCAATCTCTCGAGGAACTCAAGTGAACAGGCTGCAGTCGTTGTTTTACTTGCGTCTCATACAAGCAGATGCCCCTAATACTCATTGTAAACACTATTATCATTTTACGTACAAACCTACTCGACATTGCCGACTCCGAGCTCGACCCCGTTCTAGGGCGCGCCTTTTTTTCGCCCGGTCCCGTTCCAGCTGAAGGTAGAGAATAAATCTCATAGCTTCAGGCGGGTTCTTTGTTCCGCAAATTAAAGTTAGCTTCAATAAAGTCCAGTCATTTTTCTACGTGGGATATATCGTACGCATTGCCGATTAGCCTATAGCTTATTCACGAAGAACCATTTTTTATTCAGTTCCTGTATTTTCAATATTTAGGTTATAATTCTGTATTACGTTATACGTGACATGCTAGATTTGACCGACAGAACCTTCAGGCTCAAAGCTCTATACCGTTCATACACTATGCTTTCGCCTAAGACTTCATTACCCAATGTCTTTACCAGTCTTCGATACATTTTCACGGCGCTATGACCTTCAAGAAACAAAAACCTGAACGTTGAGCATTGATTTTTTAAAAGATGTTTTTCTTCCTGAACTGATTTCGTCTGAAGTAAACTCAATCGGTTATGACTCAGTTTCTTGAAGACTCGAATGTTAACCAGCCTGACTTCGTAAAATCCAAAAAAAACGCGGCACGTTCAAAAGTTATTGAATTTTAAAGTATGCCAAATTCGCTTGTAACAGCCGAACACTATCAGAAAGCGACACACAACATGTACAGCGCGACCATTTTCATGACAATTTTCAATGGCGTAAATATATATATATATGTATAGTCCTCACCGTCGAAGTGGCATGTCCTGCATGAGCTACAAACTAAAATTAGTATTAAGTTATGTTGTTTTTTCAAGTTCTGGGTAAGATTCGGCATATTGGGGGTACAGTGTGAGCTCGTACGGCCATAACAAGATTAGTTTTACATATAGCAATAGTAAATAAGTTTCGTTTTTACGTAATTATTAGTAACGTACTTCGAGAACGTGGAAAACAACTATGTCAAGGGGAAATCTTGCCTGCCAAGTTGTGTCTAGAAGATGAAAATCGTTGCTTTGTGTCGAAGGTGTGTGTGTGATTCATTTGCAAAGAACTGAAAAATAAGAAGAAGCTTCACCGGCAAGCTAGACTTTTATGTACCTATTCGACTTCAGAACAACTCTGTGAAAATGAACTCTCCATTTCTGAATTGTATATTACAACTCTTTTCATTAATGAAATTTGTTACACAGATTTGTTAAACAACGAAGATATCTGAACAAAGTTACACTATATCCAACCATCTTTTGAATTTAGCATGACCCCCTAGAAATTACCTGCATATCACGCACCGAGCAAAACATAATGGCAGGAGGCAAAAACCAGCCCAGGTTCTCTCCTTAAAAAATAGTGCTAGAATATAACAGTATTTTTGCTATCATCTATGTCGCTACTTAGTTAGGATATTCAAAATCGATATGTTTCTCGATGATTTTTTCATTTCCATTCATTGGACAATTTGTTCGACAAGCAGATTTTAATCTCTTCAGATGACAGGTAGGCTGAAATGCGTTATTATCTCCTTAATTTCCAGTGGTGAATCTTATCGGGGTGGCTTCTTCTGGTGACTGCCTAGACCAAACTTTCCAACTAAAAAATCAAAAATTCCACGTGTGGTTAGCTGGGACAGCTCACTATTCTAAGCATATGGCAACGAGTAAATTTTATGCAGAAACATATTATTTAAACAAAGTTTGTAGTATCTGATTATGGATGCGATATTTATCGTGTGAAAAGTCGAAACCGTGCTCAATATATCACTATTAAGGTTTCATTGAAATACCTTCGTTTCATTTTGGACAAGTCATTTAGGATATGTGCAAAGGACATACGTGGCAAAGATATGTATTATATTTGGTGTAAACCCATGTCATCGAAAGCAGCTGGTGATAACAAACTAACAGCTCGCGAAAAGGCTATTGTACGGCCGCTTTAATGAAGGCAGCCTGAGATTGAAGCACATGTTCCTTCGTCGCTGGGTTGCGTAGAGTTACGGTTACTGGCCTTTCGCGGAGCATTTAGTTCCTCTGTCGCGTCTAAGATTGTTGTTGTTCCGCTTGAAATTGGTCTGTTCTGGGTCTTGTCAGTCCGGGAGGTCTGCGATCAGTGAGCGTTAATATCATGAACAGATTTGACTTCTGCACAAAAAGTATGCTGTATAAGGAAATTCGCTTGTTTCACCGTATGATTTTATCAACCCCTGTTTGTGATGGAGGGAAGTATCCCAAAGATATCTTGCGGGCGATAGGACCGTGACGCCATATTCGCTCCATAGACGATATTGTATCCTAAAAATAGCATACGAACTGATGCAACATGCAGCAAAGGCGTGTCTTCAGCCGTACATTGTAAGCTCGGGTTTGTCCAGCTACATTTACCTTCACATGAGTGTCTCTCCTAGCAGCCAATATACCTGTCAGTTTGTTAGAACGACTCAATGCGGTAATAAATACTCATGAGGTTGTCCGAGGTTTAACAGGTTTAGTTTAACGCGAGAACAGAGATGCATGTACCAGTCAATGTTTCTAATATTTTATTTTTATTGCTACTTTATAGGATATATTGGGATGCGTTTTGCAGCTTCGCATCCAGCTGTGTATACAAGGGTCCATGATATTT